GCTAACCCAGAAATAGTACCTCAGGTTAAGAACGTTGCTTCAGGATGAGAACAGAAATTGTGCTCCGGTGGCGTGGCAGCAGCGGGAGGCCCCATTAACTAAAGTGGTGCTTCAGGTTAAGAACAGTTTCAGGTTAAGAACGGACCTCCGGAACGAATTAAGTACGTAACCAGAGGTACCACTGTATAGTAGCAACATTGACTGAGTGATCTTGGGTTGGATAATCTCAGCTTAACCTACCCCGGAGGCTTGTTGGAATATTAAAATGGGTCTATTCAGTGAAGTATTGTCTACATTGACTGGCAGCGGTTCTCCAGGGTTTCAAACGGGACATTCCCAGCCCAACCTGGAGAAGCCATGGTTGATCCTGGGACCTTCTTGCACACAAGGCAGGTCCTCTGCCCTTGAGCTACAATGCTAGTAGCAATATCCTTGGAGGTATTCATCTTGGTGCTGGAGGTAGGGCTTCCCAGGATACTCCAGCAGTGCTGCATCAGTTTCAGCTCTTCCAGCTGGCTCTGGAGTGGCCTGCCGAAAGCCAGCCAACGGCCACTAGGTCTGGAATTGAGGCCAGGTTTAATGTTTAGCCAAGTGGGGCTGACGAGGGGGTGGAGGTGGGGGTGATCCTGAGTGCTTCTAAGTCGAGAAGTCAGCTGACTGGAGAACAATGAAAAAGAATTGTGATAGCTAAAACCAATGGCCAAGGTAACGTTGGAAGTGGCGGGGACAGTTAGCACTGAGCAGACTCTGGATCAGTGTTCCAAAATATCTGAAAGGTCAGGTATGCTTCATTTATGCATCCCAAACACTATACATTTTGGAGCATGAAAGAGAAAGCCCATCCACTGTGTTTCTGCATGAACCCTTGTTCTTCGTGATTGAAGGGAAACTCATGCGGAGTGGCGACAACCAATCTTCTCTGAAGGCAAGTAAACGTTGTGTGTCTACACTGGCAGTGACCGGAGAGTAGCATGAATAAAAAAATTATAACAAAAACATCCACCATGTATCTTAATCTTAAGTAGAGGTTGGTGGGGTTCCTCTATCAGGGCTTGGCCACAAAGAGAAAAGTTCTTGCAAAAGAAGGGACATTTTAATATATTTCTGTGTAGGAGTATGTGCGTAAAAAATCTTTTCCTCCCATTTTTCTTCTGAAAGATGTAGGCAAGCGTGCTAAAAAGAAAGTTAAAATTGCACTGTGGTTTTTGAGCAGAGAACTTGCTTTGCAAAGGGAGGTGGACAGGCTGCTTGCTCTCCACCCCCCACCCAGCATTTAAGCGCTGCAGGATTTTCTTTTCCCTTTTTGGTCAGATGGGGAGAGAGAGAGAGAGAGAGACTTTCACAAACGCAATTACAAGCTACTGTCTGCCTTGGCCCTTCTCTATTGATCATCATGTCATGACTAAATATTTAATTGAATCTTAGCTTTTTCTTCGTCTTCTTTTTGCCTTCCAATTAGGGGGCGTTTCGCTTCTGTGACTCCCTCCACTCCATCCACCCTTTCTCTCCCCCCACACACCCTGCCACCCTTTATTCAGAAAGCCAGGCTCTGCAATGGCTGCGTGAAGTTGTCTATGTTTCAAGGAGGGTCTCCTGCAGTGATGAAGCTAAACGCAGCAGCAGCAGCAGCAGCAGCAGCAGCAACCCTCCATCAGCTGTACTGAGAAGCAAAGCAAAATCTATCTTTTCCCCCTCATCTTCCCCCCCCTCCCCGATAGCTTAGAGGGGCCAGTTAGCTATGTCTACTGATGAAGCACTTTTATTCCAGCTCTGTCTCCGAGGACCTGGGCTGTAGACGTGGAGAATTCAGCCGAAAGCATTATGGATCGGTAGAGCTGGTAAGTTTTTTTTTTTTTAATTCCCTCCTTATTTTATTTTTAAGCAGAATTTTAAGCACAGCCTGTTTCATCCACCCGAATGGCTTTTTGTATAAAGCATATTGGTGCCTCCTAGCCACAGCTTATCGATTCTTGGCTTATCCTCTCTCCCACCCCCACCCCCCCACCCCGATTTTTGAGTTACAGCAGGCAAGCTTTGGAAATTGGTGGGTGTGAAAAGCTTGGTGTCTCTTGTTGAGTTGGATTTTAATTGCTCTTCATTGCTGTTTATCTTTCAAATCGAATGCAATATGTACAAATCCCTCTCTCTCCTGGGGTTTTTGTAGTCTGGTGGGAAAGCTTGTCTTTGCAGCCCAAGGGCAGTAAATAGACCCTGGTTTGTTCCCATGTAAAAGATGCTAGAGGCTGGCATGAAGCACCATAAACTGGTAATTGATTTGGGGAGCCTTTTCAATTTTTATTCATTTATTTATTTATTTGTACAGGAGGTTTTGGAAACATGACCAGAATTTTAAGATGTGGCAACAGGAAGTACGGAAAAGGGTTCTCCTTCCCAAACATCTTGTGTGTCTGTCTGTCTGTCTTTTTTTTTTTTTTTTTAAACCCATTTGCCATCCATTTCCTCCATTCTTCCCCCACCACTTTGATTTTTGAATGGCGGTTGGAGAAAATGCTGTGGCACACACTGTGGAGCAATCACCTGAATCAGGGTGCCGTTTTTGGACTCTGATTATTTTAGAATGGAATTGTACAAGTTGGCCACAGAGGAAGGAAGGAAGGAAGACGGAGGCAGAGGAACCCTTCCTCTTACTGCCACACAATTGCAGGGGTATAGCTAATGGTCAAATATGTGTGCATCCAGGTATTGGCGCCTGATAGATTATTGTTGGGCAGTGCTGTACCAAGGAGACTGAATCCGTGTCTGTATTTGAATTTGGGAACCATAGGGCTAGCAATTTCAATAAGAATTCACCAAAATGTGTTCTCACCAAGGAGGCTACTATTTGGTTGCTTGTTTCAAAAGAAACATATATAAATTGAGGGGCAGGGATTGTTTGTTTTGTTTTTGCTTTTGCTTTCTGTGTGTGATTAAGATTAAAGTTAGTAAGGATAGCCCTGGCTGAGTGGTAGAGCATCTGTTTTACATGCAGAAGGTCCCATGATTGGTCTCCAGCATCTCCAGGTAAGGCTAGGAGAGATCCCTGTTTGAAACCTTGGAGAGCCTCTGCCCATCAGTGTAAACAGTACTGAGCTGCATGGACCCATGGTCTGACTCAGTATAAGAAGTTTCTTGAATGCCCATGATATATCTGCAGGGAGGGCAGTAACTAGTAGCAGAGCATCTTTTTTGTGTGCAGAAGCTCCCAGGTTCAATCCCAGGCATCTCCAGGTGGGACTGTGAATGACCCCTGCCTGAAACCCTGTAGGGCTACTTCCAGTTAGTGTAGGTCAGGGATGTTGAATCTGTGGCCGCACAGATGTCCCTGTACTCTAGCTCCCATCAGCCTTACCTGGTACGGCTAACTGACAGGGATGAAGGGAGTTGTAGTTTACTTGCTCATCCACACCAGTGGAAATTATATGGGGGCCCATCTGCACTGAGAAAACACAAGGGACCATTGTCATCAGTTTCATTTTGAAAAGTGCCCCCTCCTGCTTTCCCTTTCTGGAAAGGAGCTGCGCAAAGCAGCTTACAAATAGAAAAGCATAAAAGAAAAAGAAAAGAAAAAAGCACCAGTGATCCAGCCATTAAAACACAAATGATTCAATTAAAAATAGCAGGAAAAAGCAATGTGCAAGCAGTATCTCCCTCGTCTCATCTGAGGAGTAAAGGGCTTCTGGATTAGGCCAGCACCCCATCAAGTCTCAGCACAGCCAAGCAGATGCCCCCATGTGAAGTGCTCAGGCAGGACCCAAGCAAGACCTCAAGTCTCCCCACTTGCAGTTCCCGTCAGCTGGTACTTAGATCAGAGAGGTAGAATAGAGCCATCCAGCTTAGCAGTCAGGGTCAGTGTAAGCCTGAAAGAGTCCCAGAGAGGTGCGTGTTTATTCTCTCTCTCTCTCTCTCTCTCTCTCTCTCTCTTTCTTTCTCTCTCTGTGTGTGCGCGTATTTCTTGGAAGAGTGCTGGATTGCTGCTGCATTTCAGATTCAACCTACTTTCATGAAACTTGAACCTGCTACTTGCCCTGCCATCAGTGGCGAAGGGTGAACACTCAGCTCTCTTCTCTCCCCACTTCCCTTTCTGCGGTCCTTGTAGATACTTGAAAAATTAGTTTTCCTTCCTTTGGAAGGGCTGGCACATCCAAAGGAAGTGTTCGCATCAACCTAAACTAGTCTGAGGCAGAGTAATTCACCAAAGGTCACTCAGTGAGCTTCATGGTTTGATTAGGAATTCGAGCCCGGGTCTCTTCAGTCCGAATATAACATGGTGATCACCACCCCACACTGGCTGCCTGGCTTTCCCTTTTCCTCATATGTTTTTGAGTTATAGCTCAGCTGTCCTCAGCTGTTGCAGGCCTTTAACCTCAACATGCTGCATGAGACCCAGTTTTAATTATATATCAGCTTTTCTACTTCTCTCTGTCTTTGTCAAGCCACATCAACCCTGCAGGCATGCTGGTTTAAGAAAGTCATTCCTTCTCCTTGGGGAACACTGATACAAATCAGTAGCATAGATCAAGGGTGCTTCAGTCTGAGGGACACTTTCCTTTCTTGGCAACCTTTTTTCTTTGTTTTTTCGGGGGAGGGGTTGCACATGCCACTGATGGGTGGGATAAGAGGCAGAAGGGAGCAGATCAACTGATGCACCTTTGGTGCAAAAGGCTAGTTTCTAGACAATTCATTTCATTAGGGTCTGCCCATGAAGAGCTAGGGATGGTGCCCCACAGTGGGTGAGGCACTAGGGAATGTGTTGCTGTGGCAACTGTTGACCTAGAGCATTTGAAAGGGCTGTTAGATGAATGGAGGGCGGGTTTACCAAAGGGGGATTAGCCTGGCTGGTGAAATGGACCCTCCAGGTTCAGGAGCAGTCTATCTCTGAATGCTAGTGGGGTGGGTGGGGAAAAGCTATTGTCTTCATGTCCTGCTTTTAAACTTCCCAGTACCACCACCTTGACTAAGTGGACCTTTGTCAGATCCAGCAAGGCTCTTCTTACGTCCCAGGAGCTCAGTGGCAGAGTATCTGCTTTTCATGCAGAAGGTCCCAGGTTCAATCCTCAGCTTCTTCAGGTAGTGTTCAGACAAAGACTCTTTGTCTGAAACCCTAGAGAGCTGCTGCCAGCCAGTGTATACAATACTGAACTAGATGGACGAATGGTCTGACTTGGTATGAGACAGATTCCTATATTATGAGCACCCAGAACCTCCAGCCTGAAGCACTGGCCTCATCTCCCCTCTGCTTGCTTTCTCGTAAGGCTGCTTTTTGCAAGCACACCCTGGCTTCCTTTGCTCAGCAAGACAGTGCCTGGGTTTCTCTTCAGCCACTGCCTTGCAAGATTGGATCTGGCACACATCTTCTGTTCATCTCCCCCCTTGTGAATCCGAGAACCTGGCTCTGGACGAAGAAGCACCAGTGAATAATGAAGAAAGGAGTAACCAGCACCACATGCTGTGATCTTATTAAATCACTAATCCTCCTTCCTCAGTGATGTCATGCTTGCAGGATGATTCTGCTGGCAGGGAAGGAGGTCTCCTTGGTGTCTTTGGATGTAGGCAAGAAAAATTCATCTGCCAAGAGGGTGTCCCTTTCTCTTTCTTAGGTTTGAATGCAGTCCGAGAGCATCTGTTCATTTTCCAGCAGATCTATAAAAAGTTGGAGAAGGCTGAGCCTTTCTATATCTTGCACCCTCAACTCTGTCCCTAACTCAGGGATAGGGAACTGGATACTATCAATGAGCAAAATCCTTATCTCCCAGCAGGGCTTGTTTGACAGGCGAGTGGGGGCCGTGGGATTGACCTCTTGCCAATCACATGGCATTGCAAAGATGTCTGTTGGCCTCGTTTTGACCCACAATGATAATCAGTTGATCCTTGAAGCTTGCAAAATGTCACAACTAAGTCACTAAGCCCCGCCATAGTGACTAGCCTGCAAAAGAAAAGGAAAATATAGAAATTCTAGCCTATTGCAATGCTAGAAATCTTTGTTTCTCTGTGCTGGCCACAGAACAGGACAAGCCCAATATATGGAAATGCAGGCAGTACGCCCACTTGTCAATCTGCTGGTGTCACTCCAGTGGGCGACAGCAGGGTTCACTTCTGGGGTGGCTGCACCCATCAGTTCCCCATAGAAAACTAGCGCTGAGCTAAAGCAGCGGGATTCTTCAGCTGACAGCAGCTGCCTGCTGGAGTGACACTAGCTGATAGACAGGTGGGTGTGCAGTTAAATCCTCCTCATATCCCTGCAGAGAGCCAAGCTGAGCTGGGGAATGTGCTGGTGAAGCAGACTTCTGCAGAGAGTAGTATTGAAGTCTCTGCTCATCATCTGAAACACAGAGACTTCAGTTCTGCTCAGTGCTGCTCCCTGTTTGCTATCTCCTCCCACCCCATCTCTGCAGGTCAACTTTGAGAGATCAGTCTCCTGACATCACTGTGATGTCAGATGACTGACAGGTGGGTAGCCCAATCCACCTGTCAAAGTCAACATGCAGAGGTCCTGGGAGATAAAGACCTGGCCCTTTGGGCTAAAAAAGGTTCCCTTACCCTAGTAGTAAAAGGAAAAGACTTCAGGTATCGCAGAGACCAAGCAGACTGTCAGAGGAGGAGCTGAGAAATCTGCTCCTTCTACCATACCCCTCCCAGGGATTCTTGGTTGCCTATGGCAAATTGTAAAGTGCAAGACTGCCCTCTGTTAGGGCTCTTGCTGTGTAAAGTGCTTGCTAGCATCCATTTCTAAGGCTTAACAGATATATCCTCTCTGCACTTTAGGGAAAGTGTGTGACATATCTGAAGCACCCCTTCCCTTGCTCTCCTGGGTACTATGTATCATTGACCATGGTCAAGAGTCCATCCATTGGATAACACATATGTCCATGTGTGAGCAAGAGATTTCCAGAAGATCAGCAGGAGTCCCTATATAAGAGCAGGGTTTAAGAGAAATAAATATTTATTTAGAAATTCTTGACCATTCTCATTTTATTGCATATATAGCACTACCTATGTACATGGTTCTTTACAAAGAACTGCTGGGAGGGTGTTTAGTGGAACAAGGAAGCAACAAAAGAGGTGCATAACACTATTATACATGTCTGTGGTGCAATTGCACTTTGAATACTATGTATGGTTCTGGCTGCCTCACCTGAAAAAGGATATTGTAGAACTGAAGAAGGTTCAGAAAAGGGCACCCAAAATGATCGAGGGAGTGTAGAAACTCCCCCTATGAAGCAAGGTTACAACATTTGGGGCTTTATGGTTTTGAGAAAAGACAAGTAACAGGAAGACAAAATCAAGGTGTATAGGAGGATGCATGGTGTGGAGAAAGTGGGGAGGGCGAAGTTTTTCCCTCTCTCTTTAAAGACTAGAACTTGAGGTCATCCAGTGAAGCTGAACGTTGGAAAATTTAGGACAAAAAAAATGCTTCTTCACATGGCACATAGTTAATCTATAGAATGCACTCCCAGAAGTTGTTAGGGGCACTGACATGTATGCCAATAATAATAATAATAATAATAATAATAATAATACATTATTTTTATTTATTCCCCGCCCTCCGTGGCCAGAGCTGGGCTAAGCACGGCTAACACCAGTAAAATTACAATAAAAACATAAGGGGGGGGGGCAATTTAAAATACAGGTTAAAAATACAATTTAAAATGCAGCCTCAATTTTAATAATAGCCCATAGATCAAAACCATAAGGGGAGGGAAACATAAGGGTCAGACTGAGTCCAAGCCAAAGGCCAGGCGGAACAGCTCTGTCTTGCAGGCCCCTGCGGAAAGATGTCAAGTCCCACAGGGCCCTAGTCTCTTGTGACAGAGCGTTCCACCAAGTCGGGGCCAGTCCTAAAAAGGCCCTGGCCCTAGTTGAGACCAATCTAACCACCTTGCGACTTGGGACCTCCAAAGTGCTGTCATTTGTGGACCTTAAGGTCCTCCGCGGGGCATACCAGGAGAGGCGTAGGTACATGGGTCCTAGGTACATGGGTCCTAGGGCGCATAGGGCTTTAAAGGTCAAAACCAGCACTTTAAACCTGAGCCTGTACTCCACCGGGAGCCAGTGCAGTTGGTAATCTCGAGACAAAGACCCCGTAAGGAGCCTCGCCGCGGCATTCTGCACCCGCTGGAGTTTCTGGGTCAGCTTCAAGGGCAGCCCACGTAGAGCGAGTTACAATAATCAAGCCTGGAGGTGACCATCGCATGGATCACTGTGGCCAGATCACGGCAAGAAAGGTAAGGGACCAACTGCTTAATACAGCGGAGATGGAAAAATGCCACCTTTGTTGTGGCTGCAACCTGCGCCTCCATGGAAAGGGAGGCGTCGAAGGTTATACCCAAGCTCTTTAAAGGAGAGGATTGAACAAATCCATTGAGGATAAGGCGACTAGCCACAATGGCTATGCTGTACCTCCATTGCTGGAGTTAGTAGGCCTCTTAATATCACTTGCTGGGTATCACAAGTGGGAAGAGCTCTGTTGCACTCAGGGCCTGCTTGCGAGCTTCCTGTGGAACATCTATTTGGCCACTGTGAGAACAGGATGCTGGACTAGGTGGGCCCCCTTTGGAATGATCCAGGATGGCTCTTCTTACATTCTTAAGTGGGAAAATTGAGACATGATTAAGCAGGTGAAAGAAAGACTATGTGATTATTCCCACTGGATTGTTACAATAAGGACTAGGGTTTCTGGAAGGCTTCCTGGAAAATAATGGTTTCGGGGGGGGGGGGGTTGCAGCTTAAGGGAGGTGATTGCACAAAGGCATTTTGGAAGGCTATTCGAGCAAGGTGTAAGGCACAGCAAGGGGAAAGGGGCTGAGTTTTCCCAGAAAACAGGAGGCTGTTGGACGGTAATATGGTGAAGCAAGATGAGTGAAAGTCTCATGGATGGATCAGGAATTAAACACAGAAAGATAAGGAGGGACAAAACCATGGGTTTGAAGGTGCAGACAAGGTACACATAATCCATCCCTGCTTGTCTCCCTCCCCTCCTGTGTCCTCTTAAAAAGGAAGCTCAAAAGTGTCAGTGATGTGAGTTTCCTCTGTTTTTGGGTCTTGTTGAGAGTTCACACGAGTCTTATTTATTTCTCAACCCACCCCACCCCCCATTTGTATGCGGCTTGAGGACACAGAACTTGGTCCTGTGCGATTGCCTACTTGTGAGATCAACACAGAACTGTTTGTGAGGAACAGAGCTATAAACCTCCACCCTGACACTTTGAAATGCCAGATTTTGCCCTCCCCACCCACCTTGCTAAATTCACAAAGAGGGGGTGGTTGTAGTCCTGCGACAGAAAGCAAATGTATATGTATTTCTCCCCCCCCCCCAAAAAATGAGCATATTGTGATAAAGAATGGGCAGAACTTTTTAAGAGTCTTTTCATCAGATTGATGCTGAAAGGCATTTTGTATATTCGACTCCATTATGATTTGCTCAGCTTCCCAATTTGGCTGCTGTGAAGGGGAGAAGTGTGTGTGTGTGTGTGTGTGTGTGTGTGTGTGTGCGCACGCGCATATCTATATATATATATAGAGAGAGAGAGATGCAGATGTAATTGCTCCAGATGAAATAACTTTTTATTTTGTTGGTATCTAATGTGTCTTTCAGCAAAATGGGTAGGCTACATCAAAATTCATTACCTTTAAGGGAATTCAGAAATAATTCTCTTTCTGCTTTTACATTTTAGTGCTGGAGCAGTTTGATTACATTTTCTGAATGGTTTTCTTTGCCAAATGGCATTTGCATTCATCAAGAGGAGAGCCAGATTAATTCTGTGGGGTTTCAGGTGCTGTTTTGCTTGCAGACAAGTGGAATTTAGAGTTATTCACCTAATTGTTGAAATGAAACAACGCAGGGTGATCACCTGATCTTCGATGCATGAAGATCACAGTTGCCCACAGTTTGATTTCGGTGATTAGGTAGATCTGGGAAGGGTGCTGTGAAAGGCAACTGAAATGATCAAATGTTTGAAGCGTCTTCTCTACCAAGGGAGTCTTAAGCAGTGGTGGGAAACTGATGGTCCAAGAGCCACATGCCACCCTCAACTCAATTTCATGTGGACGGGGTGAAAGATGAAATAGACTGAGCAATGGAAAGAAGGAAGGAGGCCGTTTACCAACCTGACAGGGGCTGATGAGAGCTGGGAGTCTACCAATGCAGTCGTACCTTGGTTCTTGAACGCCTTGTGACTCGAACGTTTTGGTTCCCGAATGCCGCAAACCTGGAAGTGAGTGTTCCGGTTTGCGAAAGATTTTTGGAAGCCAGACGTCCAACGGGGCTTCTGCAGCTTCCGATTGAGTGCAGGAAGCTCCTGCAGCCAATCGGAAGCCACGCCTTGGTTTTCAAACATTTTCAGAAGTCAAACGGACTTGCGTAACGGATTCTGCTTGAGAACCAAGGTACAATTGTACCTAAAATGCACCAGGTTTGGGAAGGCTGAGCTAGATTGTTGGACCACAAAGCTCTCTAGAGATCCTTCAGCCAGTTGCTATCTCTCGGCCCTTACTCACCTCAGGACTGTTGTATTAAGAGGAACAAGTGTGAGGGCAGTCATCTCTGTTAGTCTGAGATCCCTGCCGGTAAGGGCAGAGCAAAAATAAAACAACGTACAGTGGTACCTCGGGTTACATACGTTTCAGGTTACAGACTCTGCTAACCCAGAAATAGTACCTTGGGTTAAGAACTTTGCTTCAGGATGAGAACAGAAATCGTGCTCCGGCGGTGCGGCAGCAGCAGGAGGCCCTATTAGCTAAAGTGGTGCTTCAGATTAAGAACAGTTTCAGGTTAAGAATGGACCTCCAGAATGTATTAAGTACTTAACCCGAGGTACCACTGTACCCACTTTTTAGGTGTGGAGAAGAAGGCAACCTGATAAGGCAGCATAATGGCTATTTTTCAGATTATAAAGATGGGGTGAATAAACATTTTTTTCTCTTTACGTGGTACTCTAATTTAGGCTGAACTGATGGAGATGATTGGTTGGCAATCAGTTTTAGGAATGATAAAAGGAAGCACTCCCTTGACTGTGTCTCTGTGACAGTGCATCCCACTGTGGTCAAAGTGGCTTAGTGGGGACGGGTGGAGCGGGACATTGTATTTTTTGGATCTTGGCCCAGTAGTTGGAACACTCCAGTAGCTTCTCAGATTGCTAAACCAGTAGTGGCTGGTGCCCATTAGGACTAGTAGGGTGGAAGGCAGGGAGCCCAACAGTAGGTGGAGCCAGACAGATGGAGGCAACTAGTTCTAGTTTTGTCCCATCCTCTTCCGTGCGGACTTATTCTGAAGGTGGTGGTGCAGTTTCCGTTTGACCGAACAGACCAGGCTCTACTGCAAACAGTTGACATTATCTAGCCATAAAGAGGCCACATCTATGAAGCATGCATTTCTCAATGGTACAAAGGCATCATCTTTGGGGATGGGGTGAGAATAGCAGAATGACCTTGCTTCCTGAAACATTAAGATGTTTGCATACAGTTTAGAAAGTTGGTGGTGAGCCTAAAAAGGGGTCTTATACTGTACTGAATCAGGCCACTGGTCCATCTAGTTCAGTATAGTCTACATTGACAGCTCTTTGGGGTTTCAGGCAGAAATTCCTCCCAACCCTTCCTGGAAATGCCAGCAATTGAACCAGGGTCATTCTGCCTTTAAAGCAGATGCCCTGTCATTGAGCCAGTGCCCTTCCATTAAAGTCTTTCAAGTGGTCTTTTGCCCCTCTGAAATCCACACATGGGAGCAATATTTTATGTAGTGTATGTGAAATGACTGTTGCCTTTTCTCACAGGGAATGAACATTTTCTCACTCACAAAACAGGAATATTTGGCCAGAGCCAGAAAAGAGGTTTCAGAGGGCTAGATTTGGCCCAGAGACATCCATTTGGCCTCCCCTCTTCTAGAACAAAAGACAGTGTGTTTGAAATATGGAGTGTCCCTTAAATTGCAGGACATCAGGCACCCTCTGAAAGTGCACAGCTTTAAAATGCACATCTTGTTGACCGAACTGTGCTGGGAGCTAGCGTCTGAATTCAATAGGCTACAATTTGATTGTATTTATTATCCATTTTCATTCTGGAGGCTTGCAGGCTCCAGTTGGGTCATGCAAAGCTGAATTCTACACAACACTGCTGCATCAGGGTCCTCAGTGGCTAGTGGTATAATATTATGCACCGGATGTTCTTTCTTGACATGACATTGCTTAGAAGAGTGAAAGAGGATGGTGTGGTGACATCACCAGGCTGCCAGGGGCTAGGGGTGGCAGGGAATGGGAATGTGTTAACCTTGCTAATTGTCCTGAAGTTATTGATATATTTGTTGGACTTTTGAGGGCAAAAAAAGGAGAAACTTGGATTTATGATCCTAAAGTGGAGTAGGAATGCAACAGTGTTTTGGAGAATGAACACAGCATTATTTGCAGCTGTGAATAAAGGTCCTGCATACAGCAACAAGTTTCCAAGAGGCTACTGCAGATCCACCCTGCCAACCTAGCAGTTCGAAAGCATGCCAAAGTGCAAGTAGATAAATAGGTACTGCTCCAGCAGGAAGGTAAACGGCGTTTCTGTGCACTGCTCTGGTTTGCCAGAAGCGGCTTAGTCATGCTGGCTACATGACCCGGAAGCTGTGCACCGGCTCCCTCGGCCAGTAAAGCGAGATGAGCGCCGCAACCCCAGAGTCAGTCACGAATGGACCTAATGGTCAGGGGTCCCTTTACCTTACCTTTACTGCAGATCCACAGGGAAGGAAAGATAAGAAAGTCTTAACTACAGTCATACCTTGGGTTACAGATGCTTCGGGTTGCGGGATTTTGGATTGTGCACTGCGCCGAACCCGGAAGTACCGGAACGGGTTACTTCCGGATTTCGGTGCTTGCGCATGCGCAGAAACACTAAATCACGCGTTGTGCATGTGCAGAAGTGCTGAATCGCGACCCTCGCGGGTTGCGAACGTGCCTCCTGCACGGATCACGTTCGCAACCCGAGCGTCCACTGTAGTGGTAACTGGGGCCCATTGGAACTCGTAGGGTGGAAGGCAGGGAGCCCAACACTAGGGGGAGACAGAGTCAACCACAGGCAGAGGCAATTGTCCCATCCCTCCTCCGTGGTGAGTTCTGCAAGAGCAGTACTGGTACTAAGGAACAGGAAGCTGAAAGCCTGGTCCATCCCTTTGACTGGTTGTAAGTAAGAAGGAAACCAGGTGAAGGCTGGTTAAAGGCAGACTGAGTTTGGTGGGGTTGGTGCCTAATTTGTCCACTGGTCTTAATCAATGACTTGTGCAATATATTGTGTATTCAGTGCAGCAGGAAGCTGGCCAGCACTTTAAAATGAGGAATGAAGATGAGTGATAGGTTTGACTTGTATTTTCTTTCTTTCCAGAAGTGCAGTTTTCTCATAAGCTCATAGGATGTTCCTCTGAGTTGATCTTCAGGTGATGGGGCAGTCTCCACAAGTAGGGCACACACAGTAATGTTTATTTATTTATTAGATTTAGATACTGCCCTTCATCAAATGATCTCAGGGCAGTTCACAAAATAAAAACACAAGACAAAAAGTTAAAACAGAAAGAACAAAACGACAACCTTCTCCCTTCACTTTCTTTTTTAGAGATGAAGATAAAACAAAAGGGGGGGAGTAGACAGGAGGTACGTTCAGGGAGGTTGATCAGATGTGAAAGTGGGGTCCTATGCTCTGAGGTTCGGTGGGTCTTTACCAAGGGCCAAGTCCTTAGTGTGGTAAGTCCTGCCCTGTAGAACATCTTGCCAGTACAGTGGTACCTCGGGTTACAGACACTTCAGGTTATAGACTCCGCGAACCCAGAAATAGTACCTCGGGTTAAGAACTTTGTTTCAGGATGAGAACAGAAATCGTTCTCCGGTGGCACAGGGGCAGCAGGAGGCCCCATTAGCTAAAATGGTGCTTCAGGTTAAGAACAGTTTCAGGTTAAGAACAGACCTCCAGAATGAATTAAGTTCTTAACCCGAGGTACCACTGTAAAACTTATTATTCAGACAGACCTTTCAAACCTGAGATTCTTTGCCAACCAGCCTTTACTCATCTGTTTGACATTTTAAATTGCTTTTACTGTAAGTACTGTTTGTGTTTGTGTACCGCCTTCTGATATATTTATATGCACATTTTTATATGAAGGTGCAGATTCTAAATATTTAAGTAATAATAAATAAGGGTGACAAAGCAGAAAGTGGGCAGGACCAAAGTAGGAAGTAAGTGGAGTGCCCTCTTCTCGCTTCTTAATCCATCATCCATCCATTCATCCACCTGTAATGTATAGGAATGCAGCCTCAATTTGCAGCCCTCCCTACTGTAATAAGATAAAAATAAACTGTGATTTCCGAAAGAGATACATTTATAGTTCTTGCATATATTCCTCATTAGTTCTTTTGGGTTTCCCAGCCGTTTTAAAGATATTTGTAATTCACTTTAAGTCATTTAGAGATTTCTAAAAGATAAATTCATGCAAGCAAGGGTAGCCGGATAACATCACTCCGCCAAGCTTTTTCCTTTAAAAAAAAAAATTAAAGATTTCTTAGTGTACAAAAATACGTGCATTGTCTCTTTTTTCAAGTTTTGTTTTCTACAGATCAGTTTCATTTGTTGTGAGACAATAGTGTTGTGTACAGTGTTAGGTTGTCCTTTATGGGTAACTTTGCAGCAATTGAAATTCAGGCATTGCGCTTTCCCCCACCTTTTTTGGTACATTATGTTCTTTCCATGTGCATTATTATTACTATTTTTTTTTTAGGATTTAAATTTTATTACCCTTCAGGTTTTTAAGGCGCTAATTTATTCATTGACATGGCACTTAATTGTTCAGGAGGAAGAGTGGAGATTTTTAACTCAACATTCGGATGTTTAAATTTAAATGCGAAATGAAGGAGAAAAAGCCTCCAGGGTTTCAGGCAGGGGTCATTCACAGTCCTGCCTGGGAAGATGCCCATGATGCTACCATTGAGCTGCAGCCCTTCCCTAGGTTGGCATAGTGTGGAACTTGCAAAGGTTGAGAATTTAAAAGGTAAAGAGAGAAATTATTGCAGGACTTTGAGAGCCGGTATGGTCTGGTGGTTAGTGTGCTAGGCTGGGAAGACCCAAGTTCTGGTGCCCCCTTACTCATGAAGCTTACTTGGTGACCTTACTTGGTGACCTTATTACTAGGTGACCTTATGCACTCTCAGGCTAACCTATCTCACAGGGTTATTGTAGTGATAAAAGGAAGGATGGGGCAGAGAATGAGGCATACCAACTTTTACTTCCTTGGAGGAACAGCAGGATCCAAATGCACCATAAGAAACAAAATGCACATCAACATAATTTGCACATTTTTACAAAGCAGTAGAGTTCATGTGACTGCCTTGGCATCAAATGCGTCTTTTGAGTGGCCAAAGCTGGAAAAAAGCCAATCTGTTTTGAGGCATAATTATCACTTTTTACAGGCTTAAAAATATCCCTGGTGTTGGAGAACTTCTGATTTGGGTGAATGGGGCGGTAGCTAGTGAAATGGCAATGTGGTGTTTTTTAAAAACAACAACTGGATTTGTGAAAGGTGGTCTCTATATATAGACTCATTTAAAATGCTTCCTGTTTTATTTCTGAGTCCCTCCTTGCTTGGCTAATACTTCAGTTGAAGCCAGTATGCGGCTTCCAAGACAAAAAAGAAAAATAATGATTTCAAATTTACCTTCTATAAAAAAAGTGTGGCAATTTAAAAGGCGTTTTTTTCAGTGACAGCAAAGGGAGGGGAGAACTATTTAGAAGAGGAAGTTTTTAACACTCACGGCAAGCCTTATGGCAGTGGGAAAGGTGGCATGTTTATTTATATATATTTATAGTGAGTTGATGCCTGTTTCATATGTAGATCTATCTTGTTCCCTTTGACAGATGACCAGCAGGCAGGTGATTCACTATAGGCAGAAAGCAGCCCCAGTAACAAACAAACCCAATAACAGCAAAAAATGCATATGAATGAAATTGCTTTTAGTTTTCATCTGGTAAGACATTAAATATCTCCTACCCACCTGAATTTTCCTAAGAAGAAATATCTTAAAGCGTTTTATATCCTTGTAATCAAACATAATTCTTTTTTTCTTTTTTAAATGCGGCTTCTAACTTGGTTCCTTGTGCATTCTGCTTGCCTCTCCAAAGATGCAGTTTCAAGCTGCAACTGTCTGGTAAAGGCCATTAGATGTGGCTAGAGTTTGTGTTTAGGATATACCAAGCTGTTTTTTAATGTGGTAATAGCAGTCACAGGATAGAGAAGAGTTGGACAAGGGGCGCACTAGTGGATGAGGGAGATTTTAACCTTGTTCCCTTTCACTGTTCCCCTTGATTAAAATCCGACATTGGTACTTGCATGTCTTGCACCCACATAAAAAAAAAAACATGTAGAAAGCTAGGGTGAAGCAGTTAGGCTGGTTCTGAAAGGGGTGAGATTTATCAAAAAATGCTTATAGAAAATGTGCAATGAGTTTCCCACCAGGGAAAGCCACTAGGTTTTTGGAATCTTCATCCACACCCCAGTGAGCATCAGAAAGTGAGCATAATATTATTCTGTGAAATATCTTAAATGGTGGACATTGCAAAAGTTCATCTGTAGAAATAAGGAGGGGAAGGAAGTCAAGATTGAGAGAATCTACCTTAGAGAATACCAGGTTTCAAGCATACCTTACTGAGACAGTGC